CGCACAACATTTTCACGCTATGGCTACACTATGTTACCAGAGCATATGATTGTGTAGAACCAGCAGGCTCGTTGTCATGCCACCGTGACGTCATCACTTCAGTACTCTATGGTAAAGCTCCACCCGATTCAGCTTTACCGTCTTTGTTGCTACATACAATGGGATGTCAGGCGGGTCCTAGTTGGGGGAAAGAAGAGTTAAAAACAAATTAAACACTCTATTACCCTTTTTCATTACCTTTTTAGATATATACAATGGTATTGATATTGTACCAGTTTCAGCAAGAATATTCGGGTATTATGAATTACCATCATCATCGGTCGTCCGTGGATGGAATGAAAGAAAAGAAGAAACCACAGCCACATGGGAGGCCCAGATATTCCAATCTTGCATAAGTTGAGCAATTTCTAATTGTTTTGCATGGTCGACTAGATAACTACTGAATCCTTTATTCTTACTACAACTCAGAAGGCTTCACCAAAATTTAAGAAAAGGTACTAGATAAAATCTCACCTGCATACATCCCAAATGCTTGCAGGCAATAGACCAATGTGAGTCGACAGCTTCCGAGGACTTGAAGAGGTGAATATTGTCGATATCGAGCCCTGCATCACCTTTAAACTCCTCAAGTATGGCCTCAACTGCACACGCCGACTCCTACGATGAAAGAAAAAAAATCAATTTACTTCTCTTGTAAACTCATGACTAGATTTACTCATCCAACTCAACGATGTCTCCTGTTGTACGCAATTCTGCCCTCTGTGCTAATGTGAGAAAAACAAATACAAACAAATAAACAAGGGCTGTCTTGTTACTTCATGCTTAGATTTAAACCGTTGAGTCGATTTAGGTTAATCTGCACTGGCCTGAAAATAAACGACATAAGAGTGACACATTTAAACAATTTATTCTGAGCTAATATTAACACTGTGATCGTTGATAATAATGACACACATATATTTTTTTTCTTTCTCGTTAATACAATGATCATAAAGGATCCTCAAACTAAATTTTAAGATTCAGAAAGATTACATGTATCTCACCTCAACACCACGAGTCACACGGCGGACATACGACCTCAGTTGATGAGGCTTGACGAATTGCATCATCTGCTGGTCAGAGTAGCCTGCGTAGAGATCCTCATTCCCCTTCCTGATGGCCGATGTCAGCTTCGCCATGTCCCCGTCACTGTATGCAAGGATCGCACCAGCCATGGCACTCATGAATGCCCCGTATTTGCTGTGGGATTGTTTGATAACGACGGCGTCCCATCTGTGCAGCCAGTGGCGAATATCCAGACGGATGAGCATCCCGTCCTGCACCCAGTCACCAAACAGGGACTCCATCCAGGAGGTACCACCATCCCTAGAAACAGAAAAAAAATCAAAGCACAGATTTTTAAAATTAAATGTTGATTAAATATTCATAATTTTCAAATTTATAGGTCATTCATAGTGCTTGTTTAATTCCATCATTAATTTAAGCTGCGTCATGGATCTCAAAACTGTGTGCATCGTGTTTCGATGTTGTTTCGATCCTGGATGTGAAGTTCCTTTTACTCCTATTCAGCAACATACACATTCTGACATTCCATTGAATACCACAATACGAACTAAAATACTAATAACTACATATATGACTAACCTGCAGCAGTTATTGTCAGTGTACAACACTTTTGGGGCTGGGGCATTTGCACGCCTGAATCTCGAGCTGAGTCACGGGCGAGCCTTTTGGTACATTCCTCTGATTCGGATGCACGACCACTGCCGTTACGAACTGGCCCACTGCGTTCAAAATGCTTGTTAGAAAATGCATGGTACACCTGGCCCGTCACCATACACCTTTTTGAGGATCTGTAATATACCATTACATGAACAATATTGCTTAACTTTAATATTTGCGTCTAATAATTTCATTTTGATAATTTGTGTACTTATAATTGAAGATAACTTCATCTTTTCGTTATTGATTTCAATTCTGTTTTCATTTTTCTATTATTTAATTTAATATTTTATTACTATCACTAATCCATTATCTTCTTCATCATCATTATCACCATCATCATTACAATATTCACACAGTCAAGTACCTACCTACACCGTTTAGTTCCATCAATGCAGAGAATCTCTCTCGGTGACGCTCAGTATGCTCTGGCGATAGACAGGCATTCCTTTCATCTCCACTATCAAATGTGCCGACGGAGCGTGCGGGGAGAAGGGAGCGGCATCTTGTGGAGAGGAGGGGTGTATGTACCAGCGACTTGAATGAATGCAGGATTCCTCGTTGAGACGTGCCCGAGGACTCAGCAGTTGTGTGCTTGTAGAGTAGCGTCTGGTACAATCCCTCCTCTCTGCAACCACTCGCCGTGACCCCATCTCCAGCACGCGGTACACCTTGGACATGGAGAACGAGTTGATGCGGTCAGTTAGGAGGTAACGACTTCCTTGTCCACTGCCCGTCTTTACCACAATGACGGCAGGGAACATACTCCTCACTGGCGGGGCAAGTTGCTGGAGAACACTCGAGCTCGAGGAATTCCAGGAGTACTGCGAGCTTCTCTTGTCTGAAGCAGACCTGCGTCTTCCATGCAGTGGTGGCAGATGAAGGCGCTCTGTGAGGAGGTGTACGGGAATTTTCATCCCAAACACGGTGCGGGCGACACCCATATCCATGGCGGACAAGGCTATACCCTGATGGTGCGGGCAATCGGTTGTTGGGGCAAGGCCACTTTCACATCTGCATGACACCGACTGGCCTCCAAAAGAAAGTCGGTGTCCTGAAGAAGGACAGCATTTGAGGGAAGAGTGCTTTCTACGCGCGAGTAAAGGAGTGGGCGGGTAGAAGATCATCGGGTTTAAGAACCTTTCTTGATCCTTCTTTGGTGTACAGCCCAAACACTGGATCGTTCTTAAGCGGCACTGGATGTTGGGCTGATACATCGGCAAGGTGTTGGATGGAGGCTCTTCCATGACTTCTGCCACCCTTCGAGTCTGGGTCGGTGAAGGTCTCTGGAAGCTCGTCGGCTGGCTTCCAGTAGATCCCGAGCCGTAGGGTTATCTAAAAAGAAATTTTTTTTGGGGCCTAAAATGGTTGTCGTGTCATGCTGATACATGCGTCTCACATCATATAGACACATCATGTGACATGTGTTAGCCTTAATGTTAGGTCACTACTATACTCATAGTACTATATAATTAATATTTATATATAATTACTCATAGGTCACCGGCTATGAGCGGTGAAACGAAACGTGACGAATTGTATCATGCAATCTGCAATGACAGGTCGGAGCAATTCCTCTGTTTCTAGACGCATACATGTATGCTGATTGAGAATATATATGGTGTTGGGGGTGACCTGTTAGGGGGGGGGGGAGGAGAGAAGATAGACGGACTGACAGACATAAAAACAGACTCGCCCTTTATGTAAGAGATTACACCCGTCAGGCAGCTCAGATTTATAATTTTTTAAATCGGTCAACCACAATGTTAAACAGTGGCTTTAACTGTTCATTTGCACCAGGATATTCTCGCTTTGAATGATAACTTTTGCTTCTTGGATCTTGGTCAATGCCGAGGGTAAAAAAAATTGATAAAAAAAAGATGAGTGAAGACCTACCTGCCATTTCTAAGAGGTCCTTGTCATCAATGAACTCAGACGGCTCTTCCCCCTTTGACACATCACGCTCATATGGCTGTTCCGCCTTCGATGGCTCTAATTGCTTCTTCTGTTTCTGTAAAAAAAAATATTACAAAAAAATTAGAAACATGTAGCAAACACCATTGATTACCCCCACCTCCCCCCCCAAAAAGGCATAATAATAATAACAAAAACACGGAATGCATTCAATGCAATAGAAATTAATAATGCTTACTGTAATTTCAACATCATACACTGGTACCTTTTGGGACGACAATGTCAATGAATGGGATTTATGTACATTTTTGTATACAGTTTTGTTAAACTGATTAACCTTGCTAAAAATAACTTTTCTCATATAAAAAAATCACCTTCAGATCACAGTCGACATGGCACATCACTTCTGGAAATTGGCTGGCATAGTCCCATAAAGTTTTCTTCAGCCACAGCATCAGTGGGTTGCACTCCTTCTTTGTGGCATGTTGAACGAGCAGCCACTTCAGCCATCCCACATCATTTTCTACTAGCCATCTGAAGGTCATGTTGATGTACTTGCCGAAGGTCAGCTTTACCTCGCCTCTCCAGGCCTCACCAGCCTTGCTTTTGGCCATGGCTTCTGCTGTGACTGGGTCACACCAAGTCTTTTCAACCACCACCTTTTGAAGCTTCAAGAAGTTTTCATATCGCTTAGCCTCTTCACTGGCCTTCATGAGTGCCTCCCCCTTCTTAAAATAACGAATTTGTGGTGCAGAGTCCTGCTTGTCATGGAGTTTCTGATGGTTATTCAGATGCTGCTTGAGTGTGAATGTTTTTAGGCATCTTTCACATTTGAATTGCTTCACTTCGTGTATCTTCATGTGTCGATTTAGGTTTGAGCTGGTGCTGTACGGCTGACTGCAGATTCTGCACTGCCACAGGCTTGATTGATCATCCGGCTCCATGTCATGTCGTGATGATCAATCTTGTTGGAATTGTTGATGCCGTTCACCTGTAGAAATGACATTAAAAAATTAACATTAACACCCAAGGCCAATTCCAGTGATCCAAACCGTCTTCAGTCATTTTGGGAAGACTTCCATGTGCCCCAGCCACCTTAACTGACAACTAATGAAGTATTCTGACTAAATGAACTGCAATTTGTATTTTGTTTTGATTTAATTTGACTGCCGACATTCATTGGTAATTGTATTTACTTTGATTTACAAAATTTTAGACTCAACTAAAAAGCTCTTACTTAGGCTGAGAGGGTCTATGTCCCTCGGGGTACTGCTGGAACGTACCCTGGGTACGGTCCGGTATAACATAACGTACCCTGGTACTATCTAAAATCGCCTACTACCTAACCAGAACCCTAATCCTAACTCTAACCATATCAAATAGTGACCAGGGTACGTTCCGGTATACCGGACCGTACCAAGGGTACGTTCCGGCAGTACCCTGGGGGATATAGATCCTATGACTATGAGTATGAACCTTACTTAGTCTTAGTAACACTCAAGGGGTCGTTGTCGTAACAGGTACTACAGATATGTACCCGAGGTACATATATGTATACACAAAGTGTATCAGACTTGTACGGTACAAGTAGCGTTTACACACCCATGTCGTGAGTTTGGCTAGGGTTAGGGTTAGGGTTAGGGTTTTTAAACCTGGGGTTGTTAAATAGGAATAGGCCACTTGTACTACAGAAGTGTACCCTAACCCTAACACTAACCCTAACCCTAACTCTAACCCTAACCCTAAACATACCTCATATAAAAATATAAACATAATACTAAACAACCTAAAACTTCCTCGGGTACATATCATCTGGGTGCAAGGATAGAGAACATGTACATGTAGCCCCTTGAAACCTATGTCATTTTCTTAAATGTGGGGGTATAGCACCTTTAAACTCGGCAGGGGTACTGGTGAGGGTGTTCTTTGTTCATTTCAACGGACTCCCTATCTTCCCCCTTTGTTCTCTATCCTTGAGCACATATCTGTAGTACCTGTTAAGACAACGACCCTTCGTGCCTTAGACGTAACGTTAAGAATTTCCCCGGAAATTAATACTAACTTAGTGGCTGGGGCATAACTTAAGGAAATCACGTTATCAACTTTCCACCACCTTTCTTTCACAATTCCATCATACGTTGCGCATAGGCCATAGCCTACTGCCTAGGCATAGATGCCCTATCTAGATCTAACTGACATCACTTACATCAAATTGTATACATTACGTACGCCGTTACGGGACTGAACACAGCGATGCTACGTAGGTTTTGTCCAGATATAGTTAAAAACTGGTCGCCAAACACTCAAACAAACTGCAGTAATACTCTCAAACTATATATCATCATATTTTGCTACAAACGATAGGATTTCACTTACCTAATACGATTTTCTACGCGATATATATTGTCACAGCGAATATCATGGAGTCTGCCATTTTGAACATCGGAGGGCTATGATTGGTCGGTTCCTCGTAAGCACAGAGGAACGGAGAGCAATGATTAGTCTGTTCCTCTGAAGGAAAGAGTAACGGAGAGCAATGATTGGTCGTTAAAAAACTCCTAATGTACTTGCAGGTGCAGTTGCCTGGGAATACCGGGTGCTGTAGGCTTCTTTTGTTTTGCTATTCACATTTTTAACTAAAAGACAGTATTCTACATATTAATTTTTGCGTTCGTTGCTGTCCATGTTTTTTTAGTGCTTTTTGTTTGTTATATAATTTATATAACTGATATCATTATTGTAACTGGTTCAACCAAGTATAATTTATCAGTTGGTCCGTGACCGTCTCCTGGCCTGTGACGGAGGTGTCCTGGTCCGTGACCGTCTCCTGACCTGTGACGGAGGTGTCCTGGTCCGTGACCGTCTCCTGGCCTGTGACGGAGGTGTCCTGGTCCGTGACCGTCTCCTGACCTGTGACGGAGGTGTCATGGTCCGTGACGGTGGCGATTCTCCTCCACTGGATCCTGAAGGAGACACTGCACTCCTGGAACTCGACTGAGATCTTGACTGTGGTGTTGACTGGGACCTTGGCGTTTGAGAACAAAACTTTTTGGGTGGAGGCGGGACTTCCAGAGTTTCTGAAATTGAACAATAAAGCAAAACTTGGATAAATAACTTATAAAATAAAAATAAATAGATTCCACATAGATAGAATAGTCTAGCTGATATTATGACAGGTCTATAAAGGAAAATTATGAAAAATTTCACTTGCTTTACTTTTAACAAAGTTCAAGAAAAGGAAAAATATACAAACAGCCACTCACAGGGGCCACACACATATATAACAACAATGCTCATTCGATAAACCCCGGTCAGCTAGCTAGTGCTCACAAGTCATCAATGGCACAATTATTGACCAAAATACCACAAAAAATGTTCAAACCTAGTCTGGACTCACATCCTAGATAAGAAAACATGTAACAAGATAAATATTTATGGTCGACCTGTACCAAAATGTAAGTTTTGTTTTTTTTTAAACAGAAAAATGTTGACATACAGGCTAATGATAATCACGGCTCTTCCGCTGTGCCATCACTTTGATGTTCTATAGCGCTGAAAAATCGTTTTGAGATTATAATTGTGAATACATATAGCAATAAAGTGTTCATTGGCGGCATACATGATTCAATGAATGCCACTTGGCTTTCAGACAAATTGTCTGTAATCCCAATGGCATTCATAGGATGGTTACCATCAGCAAGCAATACATGATACAGGTGCGATCAATGACAGGTTTTGTTTTGGCTGTTCTGTTATGCCCCCACCGGCTGGTTGGCAAGAATGGTCAGTTTATATAGCGATACATTCCCACTGGTTGGCTATGTGTCTTCCCACCAATCAGCTGGGGAGGGTGAACGGAACAGCGACCAAATGATCAGCCCTAATCGTTTCTTTGCTTCATGAACACTTACTGCTTGGTTGCTTTGAATGCACTGGATTTTCCTCCTCCGTTCTCGAATCCTCGCCAGGGGTTTCATTCAGTCCTGTTTCTGTAACAAATACAAAGTCAAAGCAAAACATAAACTAGAGAAAACACAGATGTCTTGTAGTACATGTAATGATGTATGTTTGCCAGATGTCAATTACCTTTCTTGAGTAATATTATTTCTTAAATGCAAAGTAGTTTCATAGTTAGTTAGTCATTATCATGGAGTGCAATGATGGATACTTTGACAACCACTAAATGCCCCTCAGCATATACATGTATGGCTGATGAGACATACAAAATTACAAAACAATGGTAAACCAGTAAAGGAGATTTCAGAACACTTTTCAGATACATGTACTCATATTGGATTATTGTCAGAAATACATCAGGGCTTGACATCAACTTTTGAGATGCAAAGTATTAAATAACAAAACATTTTCTTTGGAACAAAATATCAAAGTCAATTTGACAAACCCAAAGCACACATTCCATTGTCTTTGAATATTTCAAAAATATGGTCAACTTCTCACTTGATCTGGGCAAGTAGAATTTTGGTCAGGGCAAGTATATTTAGACACCCAGTGCCACTTGCCCCAAAATTATACTGTGTACATATACAGTTTACCTAAAATATTGTTCCTGCACATACAATTTTCAAATTTGGGCATGTACAAAATAAAGTTAGTTGCACTGTTCTTTATATCCTGGTACACATTATTTATACTGCTTGGTCATTGCCCCTGCGTTCGTTCGCCCTCCGACATCCCCCTGTATTATGTGACAATTACCCTTACGCCTGCGTTCTCACGGAATATCCTTTTGGAGGTGGACTCGTCTTTTAACTTTCTGCCTTTAGTGTCAAGCTCTGTACATACAAATTAGACTTACCAATTTCATAGTCCGAGTACTGTTTTCTCTTTCGCTCTCTCTTCTTAGGCAACAAGACATCATCATCATCTTCTGTTTCCACAGACGTGGTTAAATTATACTCGTCGCATTCATTTTTGTTGTCTGGAAACACAAGTTACTTGTATTAATTCTTGTGAATAACCACATATTTTCAGGTAACTTTTTTAGATCTCACTGTCACTGAAAGTGTCAGGGCCGGAGCTATGACAATGACAGGTGGGTAGGCAATTTTTATTTTGCAAAAATGTTTACTAAGGTTATACAGAGCAAAAGGTCTGACTTTAATACTGCTTATCACAAAAACAAAGACATTTTTACGATGTCATGTCAGCTTTAAGGGGCGTTAAGTGACTCTGTTTACTTTACATGTATATTGACATCTGACATGCATGTGAGGCCAATATGAAGAAGCACGCCTTATTATTTTTGAGAGCCGCAATGCACGTAAAAAAGACGGCGGTTTAATATAAATTCAGGAAGAATACACTACATATTTCACTGGTCTCCCTCTGCTGGTCCTGTACTGTACCTATAGTGCAATATTATAAAGACCTCAGCATATATGGATGACATACCCGATCTGATTTTTTCCTTGATGAGAGGAAATTTCAACCATTTCCCATTGTCTGGCTCTCTCTGTTCCTTCATGGCATTCGAAACATTGGACACTACAGGCCAGAGGACCTGGCCATCCACAATCCAGCTTGCTGGCACTACTCCCTCCTCATCCTGCTTCTTCTCCTGCCATACTGTTCGCACCCAGGACATTCTGGGAATGACAACACATAGTGAGTGCTGTGCCAATGAATTGGAACAATCTATAAAATCGTTGAGATAAGAAAATGTCCTCTTAATTTTAGTCACCGCAGAACACTGCCTAATACTAATAGGTGAAAATTTGACCATTGGTTATAAATGCCTGTTATGACCACGATTCAGAGAAAAATGTATTAGAAGTACAATGCAACAGAGCGAGACTTTCCTTTCAGGCTAAATAACAAAAGGAGAAAAAAATATGAGAAAAGACGGTAACACCCCATATCCGTCTGACAAATGCTTATATTTGAACATATACACACACATGCAATCTGTGAAGACAGTTCACGCACACCGGGATAATTCTGGGATGGACAGACATCATTTTGCTGGAAAACCGTAAAAGACAGACAGAAGCTGATTTCATTTTAGACTACATCCCTCATGTAAGCAACTGAAATATGCCATTTATTTTCCTCTAGGGTTAACACAGGGCTCGACGCTATAACTGTGTCAAAGTAATGTTTCAAATGACTATCTTTTGCTTGATATGATACATGGTTCGTACAGGAGGACTGAAATTTTTTTCAAGGACTTTTCAAGGGCATTTTATCGGAAATTCAAGGACATTTTATCAGACATTTTATCGGAATTCATACACAGAACAAAACATACCTGGATTAATTTAATAACCCCATTCTTAATCACCGCATGTCACCTCTAAAACTTACCTGGATGACATTAATAAACCCTTCTAAACACCGTCACTTCTACAACATACCTTGATTTACTGACTTATTTTAGTGACTTACTGTAATTTGTGATCATCATTTAACTGTCTATCGTGTCAATAGCTTTTCAAGCTCATTTAACGCAATTTTTATTGAGGTCTGCACATTATTGATGGTACAAAATTTCTTTTTATTGCAGGCAATTAATGACTCTTTCTAAAAACTCAAGGACATTTTCATGAAATTCAAGGACATTTTCATAAAATTCAAGTACTTTTCAAGCACAAAATCAACATTTACTAAATTCAAGCACCTTTCAAGGACTCCCCTCAAATTCAAGAACCTATTCAACCTATACATGCATTCATGATCACTGTGTTGACGATTCCATGCCATGCAACAAGGGTAAGAGGATATAGCCTCTCCTATAAGGAAGGCAGACGACTTTTCGTGAAACTTCTTCCGCCTCTACAAGCCGCCTGGCTTTCCGCACTGTCTGGAAGTCCCTTACATACACAATATTCAGTAGCTTTGAATCGCAGGGGTCATTGAAGAAGGAGTCAGTATGTCTCTGTCTTATAATGTCACACACAAATTGGGAATCATCCCTCTTTTCAGTGACAAACGCAAAGTCCTCGTTCTTCAACAACAAACAGCCATTTCGTTTGTTGGCAGAAACAAAGGAGAGACTTGTGTGCTGTTTTTTCCGACGCTTAACCCCCGCTTGCTCTAGTTCACTGAGCCTCTTCACAACTTGCCCAACAGGATTTTTGGCAGTCCTCACCAATCGCTTGATTATCTGCAGATGGTTCTCAAAGGGGAACGCAGATATGTCATTTAACGAACAATGCAGATGCCTAGCATCATCTGCCACATGTTTCAAGCTGTGAATATTGTACACCACAAAGCGTTCAGAGTATATTTCAGCACTTTTGTCAACAAAGTAATTCAACAATTCTTCAGCATAGCCCAAATACTCTTCACGCTTCGGCTGACAGCTGTCCAACAAGATTGATATTGCTACTGACAGACACAAAAAGTGCTTGTAAGCGTCACTGTGAAGCACTTTTTTCAGTGCAATTGGTCCAGTGTACAGCAAAAACTGTCTAAATTC